AAGGTCAAGAGAGGTTCCAGGGTAGGTCTTTGGAGAAGAAACTTCCAGGACACTGGGTGCAAAGTCAATCAACAAGTTAACACCAGAGAGCCTTCAGTTAGCTGTGCCAATTGTATCGGATTTTCATTCAGGGCTGAATTCAAAACAGTGAACAAAGATCTCTTTATTCATGCTAGTAAATACTTAAGAAGGGACAGCTTTATTATCTCTCATTTCTATTATCCTATTTAATAAAAGCCTAATATGCAAATTGTCCCCTTGGGATGTCGTTCGGTTGGGAGTTTGACCGGGAGATTAGGAGTTTGACTGCTTGCTATGATGTACGCTGACCAGCAGGGGGTGGTGCGGAACATGGCGGGTGTCGGCAGTGTGGCACTGGCAGTGGGCGACAGTGGAGGTGCTGCAGGCCCAGATGGGCCTCGATGAGAGAGGGATGATGGAGCAAGTGAGTGGGCGGCACCAGGCCAAGGCAGGTGTGAGCGGGGCCCGATTGCCATACAGATGGGGACCAGCATTGGTGGCAGAGGGTGGGGCTGCCACCTGGCTTCCAGGCTCTGAGGGAGCTGGGCAGGAGGCCCCGGCTCTGACCAATCACCCTGTAGGTGGAATGGTGGAGCAGGTGAGGGGGCAGCACCAGGCCACGGCGTGGTGCCAGGCGGGGCTGTGGCGCTGCAGGGCTGTGAGGCTGGGGGAGTGAGCTGGGGCCCAATTCCCGCAGGCCACTTCGAGGGACCCCACACATGCACAAATTTGTGCACCAGGCCTCTAGTCTTCCATAAGAGAGAAACTAAAGGGCAAAGTGACTTGTCCTATGAAACAATTCAGTGTGGATGTGCGTTCAACTTCTCTCTTTTACCTTTAAAATGTCATTTCCTCAGAGGCAGATATCATGGCTCATATAGATTTTTCTTTCTTCTTTCAGGGCCTGGCCTATTATGGATCTTAATAAATATTACAGTCACAGATGATGATATTACAGAATAAAGATGTAGTCTTGAGCCTAAGATCACTCCCACTCAGAATCAAGGAAGTGAAAGCTTTGCCTCCTCCATACACCCCCTGATGGTCTGGGTCAAGAGGGATGCATTGAACTGGCCCTCTGTGGTGCCCTGGCTATGTCTGCTGGCAATGCCCCTTGGTCAGGAAGGCTGCCATTTGATTTGACAAGCCCATCAGCCTCATGGGAATTCTTTGCAGAAGATCGATGTGAGGGCGTCTGCAAGCATCGAAGAAGGCAGAAGCCAACAGAATTAGCCAGAGGATTTCAAACATTAGTTTACACGCCCAGATTCACTCCCATAGAAGAGCTCTCTAGTCTGAAGTCAAAAACAGTGGTCCAAGGAGTTGCTGGCCCAGCCAGTCATGCACACCCACAGTCCATCCTAAATGTTTTCCTTAAGGGTTTATATTCAACGAAGGATCTGGAGTGCTTAGATAACAATGTTTAGAAATGACACAAATTCTGGGGAGGACAGGCAGCATTTGTTTACAGATGAGATGCCATCTGCCTGCATCCCTGACTCAAGTGGACTGCTATTATTAGCACGATCCTATGGACAGCCCATAAACTGAGACCTTGGCTGACGGGGAAAACATTTCTCTCTACCTGATGGTCCTTTCTAGAGAATGAAAACATTGCTGATGTGGTTATTTCTGCCAGATCTTGTAATTAAGGAGCCAATTCTCGTTTTACAGGTAGATACACCGAAGTACGGAGTTTCCCATGATGCTCAGGACTGAGCTCTCCTGGACACACTGGGAGGGAGTGTGTGGGCTCCACTGAGTCGCACAGTGGTTTTCAACCAGAATTAATGCTGAGTTCTCCATAGTAGGTAGATTCTGCCTGCAAAGTTTACATTCATATAGTGCCAGAGGCCAAAGAACATTTTTTTAAACTCATTACATCTAAATCCTAAAACCAAGATGCAAAATTGATAAACAAAGCAATCTTCTACTGCAAACCTATGACAACACCCCCCTGCAGGCAGCCACCAACCTGGAGGCCTCACACAGAAACGTAAGGAAACACTTGCCTCTCAGTTTTCCCAGTCCGAGGATAACTATTTAATCTTAATGTCCCTTCTCAGGGGAGGAAGAGGCGGTCTACTGGCTCAGGCCCAGGCCTAAGGCCCAAGAGGGCTCTGGACTCAGGTTCTGGATTAGCTCCAAATTCTTCATCCTTGCCAACAAAATGCCCAGGGGCTGGGAGGAAAGGAAGTGTATATTAAGCATTTGATGACTAACATGCACCATATTTTTGGAAATGTTGGTTTCAACCTACTTAGGAAGCTGAAGTGTGGAGAGGATCCAGAGCGCGTGCTGAGACACCGCGCCTCCTCCCGTGGGAGTGTTCCCTCCAGAGAGCTGCTGACGGGCACCTGTGAAGGGCTCCAAGGCCACAGCTCATAGAGGTGATTTTAATTAGTTTTGCATTTTTCCCCCTCACTGTTGTTTTTCCAATGTGCATGCCGTTCTCAGCTGAGGGTTCATCAAGCCTTTA